GTGTCCACGGATGTTTAGGTTAGGTGGGTTAGACATGGGTAAATCTGGTAGGGGAATGGGTCTGAGTGGGATGCTCTTCAGAGGGGTGGTGTGAACTTGTTGGGCCGAATGGCCTGTTTCCACACTAGGGATTCTATGATTCTACACGAGCCACTCTCTATGTCCTAGGACCTGATGGGATCTATCCCAGAATATTGATGGAGGCAAAAGAACAAATTGCTGGAGCATTGATAGATATCTCTTTATCCTCTAACCACAGGTGAGGTTCCAGAGGACTGCAGAATAGCCAATGTTGTCCCATTGTTTAAGAAGGGTAACAGAGAAAATCCTGGAAATTACAGGCCTGTGAGTCTCACTTCAGTGGTAGGGAAATTATTAGAAAAGTTTCTGAGACAAGATCTATATGCATTTAGAAGGAAATGAACTTGTTAGCGATAGTGTGGGGGAGGTCGTGTCTCACTAACTTGATTGAGTTTTTTGAGGAGGTTGAGAAGATGACTGAGGGAAAAGCTGTTGATGTTCTCTACATGGACTTCAGTAAAGCCTTTGACAAGGTCCCTCATGATAGACTGGTATAAAAGCTGAAGTCACGTGGCATCAGGCGTGAGTTGGCAAGAAGGATACAGAACTGGCTTAATCATAGGAGACATAGGGTGGCAGTGGAAGAATGCTTTTCAGAATGAATGGTTGTGACAAGTGGTGTTCCACTTGTGGATCAGTGTTGTTCACGATCCACATTAACCATTTGGAGGAAAACATAGCTGGTCTAAGCACTAAGTTTGCGGACGATACGAGGATTGGAGGAGTTGTCAGAGGATACAGCAAGATATAGATCAGGTGGAGGCATTGGCAGAAAATGGCAGATGGAGTTTAATCTGGAAAAATATGAGGTGATACGTTTTGGAAGGTCAAGCACAGGTGGAAATTATACAGCGAATGGCAGAACCCTTAGGAGTATTAATATGCAGAGGGATCTGGGCATGCAGGTCCTCAGATCAATGAATGTGGCAGTGCAGGTAGAAAAAAAGGCTTATGGCATTCTTGCCTTCATTGGCAGGGGCATTGAGTATAAGGATAGACAAGTTATGCTGCAGCTTTATAGAACTTTAGTTCGGCCACACTAGGAATATTGCGTATAGTTCTGGTCACCACACTACCAGAAGGATGTGGATGCTTTTGAGAGGGTACAAAAGAGGTTTACCAGTGTGTTGCCCAGTATGGGGATCTTAGCTGTGAAGAGGTAGGATAGACTGGGTTTGTTTTCACTGGAATGCAGGAGGTTGAGGGGCAAACGCATATAAGATTGTGAATGGCATGGATAGAGTGAACAGGATGAGGCTTTTTCCCAGGTTGGAGAGGTCAATTACTAGGGGACACAGTTTCAAGATGCAGAGTGGAGGTTTAAAAGAGATGCGAAAAACTTGCCTTCCACACAAAGAATGGTGAGTGCCTGGAATGCTTTGCTAGACGAGGTTGTGGAAACAGTAGCAGCATTCAAGAAACACCTGGATGAATACTTGAATAGGAAGAGATATGGATCCTGTAGGTGAAGACAGTTTTAGTGTGGAAGGGCAAAATGTGTTGGCGCAGGCTCTGAGGGCCGAAGGCCTGTTCCTGTGCTTTATTGTTCTTTGTAGTCTAGGAGGCTTAGGTATTAATACTGTCTGTTCAGCTCTGCATGAGTGATATGAAGGAATTAATCCTACCTTTACCCTTAATGTGAGGACTGGGTGGAACAGTAATGGTGATGTTAAGACTGTAACCCTCACAAGAGTAAGCAACTCACTGTAGAATGTGATGCTGCAAATATCTCTCAAATATGTGAGCCCATCACATTAATACAAAAGTGAAGGCTGAAGCATTCGCAATAATCTTAAACCAGAAGTTCCTAGAAACCAGCAATAGATCGTTTGGCCCTTCAAGTCTTCTGTGCATCTAATATGATGACAGCTGATCGTCTGTCTCAGCACCATATTCCCTTTTACTCTCTGTGCCTCTTCATGCTTTTAATATCGAATTCTTTGTCTCGACAACCTTCTGTGGTAGTGATTTCTACAGGCTCATCACCCTCTGAATGAAGAAACGTTTCCTCATCTCAGTCCTAAACAGCCTACCGCATATGCTCAGACTGTGACCCTTGGTTCTCGACTGGATGATCCATCTTGGGCGCCTCTAGAGAGCCCCAGCATTACACATGTCAGTCTCCAGCCGCCTCAATTCACTGTGTGATATCAAGGCTAGAGGCACTGAATAACTCCTGGACTGGCAGGTGTGTGTTCAAGTCCCAACTGCTCCAGGGGTATACAATAACATTTCTGAACAAGCTAATTCGAAAAATCTGATTAAGTAAAGAAAAAGTAATAGCACAACCACCACAATAGGTCTCTGTTGAAAACTTTTTTTTACTGTACAGGCCATGGGCCCTGACAAAATGGGCAGTAGTCCTGAAGATGTGTGCTCTCGGTCTTGCTGTGCCTCTAATCAACTGTGCTAGTATGGCTGCATTATTGGCATCTACCTGACAATGTGCAAAATTGCCCAGGCGTATCCTGTACTCAAAGGCAGGACAAATTCAACCCAGTCAATTACTGCCCCATTATTCTACTCCTGACCATCAGTAAAGTGTTGGAAGATGTCATTGACAATGCTATTGAGCAGCACTCAATTAACTAAAAACTTCTTGCTGATGCTTGGGTTGTGTTCTGCCAGTCTTGTTTTAAACATGACATGATATCAAGGCCTCACTTGACTGAGTGTTCCATCAAGGAGCTCTAGCAACACTGTTGTCAATAGGCATCAAGGGGAGAATCGGTTTACGGAGCATCTGCACTCTGCACACAACAACCAAACTGACCTTCTAATTGCCATCTGTTTTGATTTCCCCTCCCACTCCCCTGACAACACATTCATCCTTGGCCGCCTCCTCTGTCAGAGTGAAGCCAAACATAAACTGAAAGAGCAACATCTGATATTTCACATTGGGAAGCTTAAAGCCCAATGGCCTTAACAATGACTTCACTAGCTTCAAAATCCCTTCAACCCCAGCCTCATTCCATGTCTGCCCCTCCCCTACCTTACCTGATCTACCCTGTTTATCTTCCCACTCAACTATCTGCTCCACCCTTCCCATGGACCAATGACAATAACCCCTACCTGCATTCATCTATCACCATCTCTCCTACCCTTCCCACCCCCCAGCTACCCATTTTTTCTGACTCCCCTTCCCCTGCCCTCCTCAGTCCTGATGAAGAGTTTCAACACAAAACATTGACTTTCCTGCTCCTTGGATGCTGTCTGACTTGCTGTGCTTTTCCAGCCTCTCACGTATAGACTTTGGCTTCCAGCATCTGCAGTCCTTAACGTCTTCAAGGGTTTGAGTTGACCAAACACAAACTAAGATGCTTGTTTTGTGGTTGTTGTAGGTCAAACGCTCCTGTAGAATTTCCTCAGGATAGTGTCCTAGGCCCAACTGTTTTTGCAATGTACAGCTTTGTCGATTCCATTACTGATGCTGTTGATTCTGGATTATAATTAATTTGCATGTAAATACCGCCAGCTGTCATTGTGGGATTGAACCCATTCTAACCAGAGCATTAGCCTGAGCTCTGGATTGTTAATCCAGTGACGTTAACTCTGATTTTTTTCTTCACAGATGCTGCCAGACCTGCTGAGCTTTTCCAGCAACTTCTGTTTTTGAATCTTACATTTTTCTTCATTGTGCACCATCTTCCAATACTTTTTGCACAATCACTTGATCTATTTATATGCCTTTCAGAGTCTTCATATATTCGTTACAACTTGATCTCCTATCTTGGTTTGTATCAGCAGCAAATCTGGTTACAGTGCAGCCTGCGCCTTATCCGAGTTATTAATACTGTACAGATATTTGAGGCCCAGCTCTGATCCTTGGTGATTTCCTTAGGTCACACCAAAGGGTCCTTTTGAATGCAAGTCGTTTGCCTATTAGTATTGATCCTCTATTAGCGACTCTCTCAGCACATCAGTGGGCCGTGTCAGCTTGGATTCTTGGCTGAGGTCTTGAGTAGCTCTACTCTGATGCACCTCTTGGTCAAAAGGCAAGAATGTTGGGGCTGAGCCAAGGCTACTCATTCAGCATCCGTATTGATCCTACCATGCAAACTTCAGCCATAAAATGCCTGGTGTAACCAAGGCTGAAGGAAGAGCTAAAGAAGTAACGGTGACAATTTGCCCGAACGATGTACTGGGTGTGGGTGGAGTTCTGATAGGCTTTCAAACATGCACTGGTCAAGATGAGGAATAGTCTTTTCACAAAGAGCTTGGTTATTAGGGAAGGTGGTGCCATTGTAGTAATGTATCTGGACTGTTGATCCAGACGTTCAGGCCTTTGAGATCAGGGCACTGGTGGTATTTAAATTAATTTCATTAATTGTAAGTAATGGTAACCAAGAAGCTATTATTTTTTTAAAATTGTTAATTCATTCATTCATCGGTTGTGGGCTTTGCTGGTTTTTCTCGTACTTACTGCCCATCCCTATTTACCCTCATGAAGGTGGTAATGACCTAAAACTCATTTGGTTCATTAATGACCTTTTCAGGGAGGGAAATCTGCCATCCATATCAAGCCATTCTGACTCGTGACTCTAGATCCACAGCGTTGTTGTTGGCTCTTAAATTCCCTCTGAAAAGAAATGACCCAGCCAGCCACTTGAGGGACAGCAAATGTTGGCCTTACCAATGGCAGCTACGTCCATCAAAAATGAAGAAAAAGAATAGTGTGTGTAATCTGAATATTGACTCACTGACCAGAATCCATTTGACACCCTGAATAAATACAGACGGATAGTTCTCCCACTGACTGCAGTTCGCTATGTGCCTCAGAGTACCAGTTGTTGTGATGTATGCAGTAACTTGTTTTGCTGATGAGTCCATTGGTTTTTCATGCATCAATGCGATTCCTATTCAGATACTAACAGTGTGTATCATTTCCCCCCTTTCTCTCTCTCTCATTTGCTGAGAAGCGGAGGATTCTGATCATAGACGAGCAGCGGCAGCGGGTAGAAGAGGCCGTGCTGTGCCAGGAGGTTGAGTGGGACCGTACCGACAGGCAGGTCGGTGGGCTGGTGTGGCAGCGCACAGAGGCCTGGGGCCAGGATGCGGACGAGCCAGGGAAGGTGCTGGTGTCGGTGGCCGGCGTGCGGGGCCAGGAGCAGCACCCGCCGACTACATTGCAGGGCCCAGCCCGCGATCGACCGGGGTCTTCCCCAGCACAGCGCAGACGCAAGTCGGAGTATCCCCGTCGGCGGAGCTGCATCTCGTTCACATTCGGTGGGGTGGAGCTGAGCGCGGGCCGTACTGAAGAAGGCGAGGAGCCGGTAGAGATCCGGTGAGTGGAGAGTGCACCTGGAGATGGTTGAGTCACCGGTGTCCAGGGCATTCCATGCATTTCAAAGGAACTCCTGATGGTTGGGGGAATTGAGGTCTGAGGCACAAATGTACCCAAAGTGGGGGGGAATTGATGATGGCGTGAATGCTCCTTTCAGACTCATAGGAGTGGTGGTTTTGAAGAGGGATTGATTATCAAACAGACCAGATGGTGCTTTGTCCCTTCCCGTGCACACTGGAAAAGCATGAGGGTACTTCCTGCTTGGTGCTAACAAGTGGGAAAGATATTCAAGATCAGATTTGCAGGGGAGCTGTGAAGAGATGCAGAAGAGATACAGTTTAGTGATAATGGGGGACCTTCACCTTTCTGAATGTGGAACAGCAGCAAATAGTGTTGGAAAGGGTTTATCGTATGTGTTTCAGAAACTCTCTTTGATGTATGTAAGAGGTAGGAACAGGAACAGGAGCAGGCCATCTGCTCCACCGAGCCTACTCTGCCATTCAATACGAGTGTGGCTGATCTTTTTGTGAACTTAACTCTAGAAACCCACCTGCTCACCATAATTATTAATTATTAATTCCTTTACTGTCCAAAAATCTATCTATCTTTGCCTGAAAAGCCTTCAACAAGATAGCCTCAACTGCTTCACTAGGCAGAGAATTCCACAGAATCACAAACCTTTTGGTGAAGAAGTTCCTCCTCAACTTAATCTGCTGCTGTTTATTTTTAAGTCTAATATTTAACCTGTTCTGGCCTACACTGGAAGGATTCTTTCCTCTGTTTGACTGGGATTGCTGTGGATCCAGTCCATCAAGTGTTAGCTAGGGAACTTCCAATGATCAGCGATCATAGCCAACCTAAAGTTTACGATGCTGTCTAAAAGAACCAAGTTGGACGTGGTCCAAATTCAGCGATTGGAGGACAAACTGTCCCAAGCAAAACTGTAAAGAAACAATAGGCTGCTATTTAAAAAGGAAATGGTTCATGTGCTTGAGGTGGGGCAGTCAAGTACTGAGCACTGAGTCAGTGAGAGCTTAAGTTGAAGCAGGAAAAGATGTGCACTGAAATATGTCATGTTGATAATTCAGGTGAGAATCCAGGCTTCAGTTCCATGTGGAGAGGTATTGAGAAGTTAGGGTTTTTTTCTGTGGAGATTATTGGAATTAACTTTGCAGGAAGTATTTAAAATGGAAGATCCTGGACAGAGTCACCCAAGATAGACTATTCTCATTGGTGTGAATACTGTGAACCGAAGGGCTGTTATTTAAGATTCTTGGCTAAAGACGCATCAGTGACATGTGAAACAGTTTTTCGCATTTGACGGAACTTGAGTGTTTGAAATCTAGAATGTATTGCTTTTATTTTCCACACATCCCATCCTTTCTATGTTTGACACCGCTTCAAATCTATGTCCTCTTCCTCCTGTTCTTGTCTCTTCTATAAGTGGGAGCAGCTCCTCATCTATTGTATCCAGCCTGCTCATGATTTTGAAAATGTCAATCAAATTTTCACTCGGCCTTTTTCTCCCTACGGAGTGCAGTCGTAATGGGGAAACGTTGTGTGTGGTCTTGACCCCACTTCGGATGACTTGTTATAATAACCAATAATAATGATCTCAGTGCTGATTATAGTCAATGACTGAGCAGCCATGATATTAGTGTGTAGAATTTTCTCCTCACTTTGGTCTTTTACAGGCAGCTTGTTAAGCTGGAGCTATGTAAATCCTAGCTCTAGACTTTTCAACTGGGGCAAACAAGCTTTCATGGCAGCTTCAAGCATGCCATTACCTTACACTTATTAATAAGATAGCTCCTCAGTCTTCCAAGCATCAGTGAATATAGATCAATTCTAATTGACCTCTTCTCATAGGATAGAGCACTCCTTCCAGAAATCAGTCAAGTGAATCTGTTTCACCACTTCGAAGGAAAGTATATCTTTCCTTTGCAAGAAACAAAACTGGTACACTATACCCCATGTTGTCTCTCCAAAACCCTATATACTTGCAGCAAACTCTCATTTTAATGAAACAAAGAACCCCTGTGAAGCTTTTTGGAATAGTATTTCTTTTTAGGTTGCTGTGCGTAATGTAGGAGTGTAAGTTCCAGCAGTGTAAAAGGGAGCTATTCTCTATCTAACCCCATACTGTACCTGTCCTAAGTGTGTTTGGCTGAGACAATTTAGAAGGAGCATTACTCTGCTACTCTGTATCTCAGAGTTTTAAGCAGAATAGGCAGGAAAGTGGAGTAAATGCAAGATATGTCATTATTGTCTTGTGTGATGGAGGACCTTGAAGGCCCTTGCAGCCTATTCCTGAACCTATTTTTTTATGTTCGTAGATTTCGATGCAGTTGATTTGGAGTCTAACCCCATGCAGTATCTGTGTTTGATGGGCAGTGTAGAGGGAACATTGTACCTAACTTGAAGTTAGTTGGTGTACTCTTCTCACTAAACCATGTGGCCTGTTTGTGTGACCAGATATTTTGTAGACACATACCCCTTTTCCAGGAATCAAATGCTAAAGAATCAAAAGGCAGGAGCAGAAAACAGGAGTACAGCATTGAGATAGTGGATTAGCCCTGATAATACTGAATGGAGAAGCTGGGATGAATGGTTTTACTCTTGCTCCTATCTTCAGTGTTTCTATGTTTCTGTCAGTGGTGCTAACATCCTCTAGAGAATGGCCAGTAATCACGGCTATGATTTCTGTTTTTCAGTGCCTGTGTGCATGAGTCCACTGCAGTTCTTTTATCAATATATTTCTTTATTTGAAGAGTCAAATAAATTTAATCCATCGCATATTGACTTTTAGAAATATATGTACCTGCTCTTCAGTAGACCGGGTGATGCTCATTTACCTTGAGGGAACTTTCGACTGGTGAGGCTGAGGTCAGTGGTGGATAAGTTGTTGGAGGGGTTTCTGAGAGACAGGGTTAACATGCATTTAGAGAGGCTTAGGTTAGGGATAGTTAGCATGGCATTGTGCATGGGAAATCATGTCTCACGAACTTGATTGAGTTTTTCAAGGATGTGACCAAGCAAAAAGATGAGGGCAGAGTGGATGATGTTATCGATATAGACTTTAACAAGGCAAATCTTTGTCAAAGTTCCACTTAGTAAACTTAGATCAAGTGGGGTTCCAGGGGAGCTTGTCAATTGGATACAAAGTTGACTTGATGGTGGAGAGTTGTTTTTCGGACTGGAGGTCTGCGACCAGCGATGTTGGGTCCACAGTTGTTTGTCATTTATATAGACTGTTTGGATGAGAATGTAGGGGGAATAGTTAGTAAGTTTGTGAATGATACCAAAATTGATCATATAGTAAACTGTCGAAAGTTATCTAAGAGTACAAAGAGATCCTGATCAATTGGGCCAATGGATCGAGGCCAGTTGAGATTAAGTTTAATTTAGATAGATGCAAAGTGCATTTTGGTACACCAAGGAGGGCAGGACTTACACAGTTAAAGATAGGGCCTTGGAGAGTGCTGTCAAACAGAGATCCCGAGGAGTTCAGAAGCTTAGTACCTTGAAAATTGCATCACAGGTAGGTGGAGTGGTAAAGAAGGCCTTTGGCGGGCTTGCCTTTATTGTTCAGACCATTGAGTGCAGGAGTTGGGATGCCATGGTGTGGTTGTCAATGATGTTGGTTAGGCCACTTTTGGAGTACTGTGGTATAGCTCTGGTCACGCTGTTAGAGGAGCGATATTAATAAGTTGGAGAGAGTGCAGAAAATATTTGAAATGATGTTATAGGGACTGGAGGATTTGATCTACAAGGAGCGCCTGGATAGGCTGGGACTTCTCTTTTTCACTGGAGCGACGACTTTATAGAGGTTTATAAAATCATGAGGGGCATAGATATAGTGAATAGCAAAGGTCTTTTCCACAGTGTGGGCAAGTTCAAGATGAAAGGGCAAAATTTTAACATGACGAGAAAGATTTAAAAGGGACTTCTGGGGCAACTTTTTCACACGGAGGGTGGTTCATGTGTGCAATGAACCACCGTCTGAAGTGGTAGATGCAGGTACAATTACAACATTTAAAAGACATTCGGACATGTACGCGGATAGGAAAGGTTTAGAGGGATATGAGCCAAGCGCTGGCAAATGGGACTAATTTAGTTTGGGAAACCTGGTTGGCGTGGATGAGTTGAAGCGAAAGGTCTGTTTCCAGACTCTCTGACTCTTAAAGCAGCATTTGCATTTCCCTGGCCCCTTTTATGACCTCTCCAGTTCCCAAAGCGTTTTGTTTGAATGCATACTCCTGACATGGAGCTGTCATAAATGGGACAGTCAGTTTCACATGATCTTTTTGAGAGATGTTTATGGTTCTTACCATCTTGCATCTGACTTTTTTTTTAATTCGTTCACGGGATGTTGCCTTTGCTGGCTGGGCCAATACTTACTGTCTAACTGCACTCGACAGTGAAGGAAAGAAGCTATATTTCAATGTTAGGGTGGTGAATGACTTGGAGGGAACTTGCAGGTTGTGTTCTTACTCTTCTGATCTTGTCCTTCTAGATGGTGGTGGTTGTGGATTTGAAAGGTGTTGTTTCAGAAACCTCTGAATTTCTGCCTTGCATCTTGTAGATGATACCCATTACTGCTACTGAGTGTCAGTGGTGGAGGACTGAATGTGAGTGTCAACCAGGTGTGATGCTTTGTCCTGGATGGTGTCAAGCTTCTTGAGTGTTGTTGGAGCTGCACTCATGCAGGAAAATGGGGCGTATTCCATCACACTCCAGACTTGTGACATGTAGATGGTGGGCAGGCTTTGGGGAGCCAGAAGAAAAGGTACTTTCTGTAAGACTTCTAGTCTTTGACTGGCTCTCGGAGCCCTAGTGTTGATACAGTGAATTCAGTCTTGTTTCTGGTCAATCCCCAGGATGTAGATAATGGGAGATTAAATGATGAGGAGGCAGTGGCCTCATGATTATTGCTAGACTATTAATCCAGAGACACAGCCAATGTTCTGGGGACCAGGATTTGAATCTCACCCCAAGGC